GCACATTACCCGTTCACGCCGGGCATTGCGGATCTCGCGGGTCAATTTTTGCCAGCTTAACTTTATTTATATAGCAGGTAGGAAAGCGGGATCGCAACTTCGTTCCGAACTGCTGCTTGATTCACACTTTCACAAGAACGATGAACAATCCAACAGCTGCCATCTTTGTTCTCTTTATGTCGAAAGAACAGGGTATCACTTGTTATAAACATACTGTCTCTGTTGGTACCGAGCTGTGCACGCGAATTCACACACACTCGCGCTCTCTCTCTCGCCCAGTTCGGACCTTGCCGAGTTAATGTGAATGGGCTGTTAGATCAGAAAGCGCCGCGGGCGCTCTTCGTGACCTCATTCTTGCGCCGCAACGGCTGCAACGTTGTTTGCGAAGCGTGTCAATGGCGAGGACTGTCGGGAGATGGAAAGAGTAGCGGCCGCTATAGTCGCATAGACTGGCATCGCTCCACCTCTATGCTTAGCTTAGGTCACTCGATGGGTAATCGGAGGTGGGAGCGAGTCCCAGTCTAGTTATAGCCGTGTATTCTGGACAGCATTTAACATTAACTGTGCGCAAGGTGTCTGGGCGAACGCAGAGAATTTGTCACGCTTTGTGTGATTTCGCGGATGCACACAGCCTCGGGTTACGAACATCAAGACAGTTGTTTTTATAAACAGCTGTGAAACACTGTTCTTGACATAGAAACGAATGTGGGAGGCTGTTGGATGTGTATTCGTGCGTGTGGATAAGTTGTGAATCAAAGCGGAGATCGATGACGAATTTTGCTATCCGCTTTCTACCTGCCTTATTATATTTAGTGTAAGTGCGTGCACAGTGGAGCGCTGAGAGCAATGGCTCGGCAGGCAGGTTGTATCGACTCTCGCGCTTGCGTTAGGAGATTTTTGGACGGAATTTACAGCGAAACTGTCAGCAATAATACGTGAAAGAGAGATATAGAAACATCAATGGAATTTGGTAGTAAATAGATTTGCGTATTTAGTTAGGCATTATTTTTATTGAAAGCTTCAAGTGCAGTGCCTGCTGTCGTACAGGAGTTAGGAAGAGCTGGGTTTGGTGTTTCCAAAAGCAAGTTGCGCAGACTATAGCCCTGTACTTGCAGCAATAAATAATAGAAATAGAAATAAATAGACTCTTGATACTATTGAGCTGAAATTTAACAGCAGTATTCAGCCATGATGTGAGGTAGCCCGCACTCTGGTCATGTGCGGCAGATGTTACTGGGCAGCACCTATTGTCGTGCGTGCGTGACAGATAATACATTGTAGAATTCTCCACCTGTTTAGTGGCAGGACGGTATGCCAACATAACAGGTGTCTTGAATAATTTATTTATTACCCTGAGGCAGTGCAGCTGTAGCACTTTCACTCATTCATTGTTCACAACCATTTTCATGCATCTTTTTTTGTTGGTAGGCAGACCACTCTCAGCAAATGACCCTTTCAATTTAAAAAAAAAGAAGAAACGAAAGCAGGCATTAAGACACCGTACAAATAATTAGTAATCAATATTGTTTCGATGATAATAATATTTTACAAAAAGATTTAGTCACTTTTTTGACTGTGCACTGTATTAACTTCACTATATGCCTCTGCCTACAGATTCAGCTGTTCATCCAAACAAGCAGGTAATGGGAGAAATTGAGGCGTTGAAAGCAAAGTGTGAAAGGTACAAAGAAGTAGTCGAGAAGCAGGAGTTGCTGCTTCAGGTGAGTTATATATGGATAAGTATCAGGGTTCACACTTATCACCAACGTTGTGTATGCGAGATCAATGCTTAACCAACTCCTACCTCTTTTTAAAAGTTATTCAATTCACACAGGTGTTACCGTAATTTATGTGTAGCTTCAATTGCTAAATGAAATTTATTGAACTATGCAGGCTTAAATGTCATGCTGCAACTGCAGTATAGACAGTGTTAGTAATGCTAGCCGCACACTATACGATTTTGCACTGTGCACAGCACTAAGCCCCCGCACACTATACGACGCACTCCCGATCAATCGGGAGGCCACCGCACACTGTCCGACTCAAAGTTGACGCAAACCATGGCACTCTCGTGGCGTTCCAAGCGGATTTAGCGTGTACTAAGGGTCGGGAGTGTTTCCCATGGTTCGAATGCCATTCCATTCGAATGCGGTTCCCATGGCGCTGCTCTGTGATTGGTCAATTTTCTTCAGCGCTCGCCGATCGGGTCGGATGGCCACGCACACTATCCGAGTCGCGTCGTAAGCCCTCGCACACTATCCGACCCGATCTGCTCCCGATTCAAAATTCGAATCGGGCCAAAATGACCTCCAGAGCCAATCTTAAGCCTCCCGAGCCAAACTAGAACATCTCAATCCAATCGTAAGCCTTCAAATCACGCTCGGGTCGGATAGTGTGCGGCTAGCATTACGTGTCTGTAGGTATATATTCAATTCGGAACTGTCATTGTGTGTTCATAATCACATTCTTTCATCACTAAGCACGTTCGTCGTTGTTTGTTCTATTGCAGCAAGCCATTCTGAACCACGTAGATCAGATGGATGGCCAGTTGTTCCTCAATGGCGAAAATTTTCTAGGGGAGAAGGAGCTACTGAACGAAGAGAAAACGTTGTTTTACGAGCAGAAGAGCAACTTTGAGAAAGAGCGGAGGATTTTCACAGATGGTGCTATCAGATTGGGCAGAGAGGTGAGATACAGCAGCTACTAATACACTGCTGCCAGTGCTTACGGATTCTTATTCATTATATATACTATGGCATTCCTAGCACTCCCTAGCCTGCAGGATAGAGTGATATAACGATTTAAGAAAAGTGTGTGACAAAAAGTGGGAAGAAGGGGATAATATAAGAGCCACCTACACAAGCTGTTTTTTTCTAGCGGCTTCACACAGCTTACGAAAATTATTATTTTCTACAGCGGAAGCAGTTTGAAGAGGAGCGAGCGGCTTATTTTAAGGAGCAGTTTTTGATGATACCCTCACCAGGGGGCACTCATGATGTCTCAAACCTCACGCCAACCAAACCGCTGGTCGAAGCGGCACCCCCCAATGGTGGGTGTGTCACGACCCCAAGCACTGACCAACTGTATCGAGCACTACGTCTCAGGTATGGTGACTGATGCACGTAACACGTATCTCTATAGCTATGATAAACATATAGAAAAACAATATTACTGGGTAATGAACAATATAGCAAGTTTTTGCTTGAGATGTGATCTGAGAAGATCCATATTATCAGCGTGGTGAATGGAAATCGTATCAAAGTTGTGCCTAAGTTATCATATAAACGTTTGCAATTCTAATACATATAAAGTTAAAGTCTCTTGTAACCTTACAAAACTTTTTACTTGTAACCTTTGCAACTTATTGTACTGTCCTGAAATGCTGTGCTTGGTTTTACATGTTGTCATTTATTTGTTTTCCTTTCTAATTGTATCTCTGCTTTTTTTTCCACGATTGCTGTTTTTCGAACCAGACCTCATTCGGTAGCCGGTGAAAAGCTCACCCACACGCAGTCTAGTCCCATGCTTTCCCAGCCGGTGAGCGCCCTGTCGGAGGGAACGCAGGAGACGAGATGCGATTCGCGGGGGCAGTCTAAAATAGTGCAGAGGATCTGTGCACACACGGAGCACATCAGGGAGGCGGTGAGGAGGCGATCGACGGACGACGGTCTCACGCCTGGCAATTTCAACTCCCTATGAAGTCCCTCCTCGTCCTCCTCATCCTTACCTCTCACTGTGCTTACAGGGTTATTGTAGAGGGGGAAAACTTGTAATCGTTCGTGTAATATGTTGTTCGGTATGACTTGTGATTGATCATATGAGAGCTTCACAATGCAATAAAATAGTAAGAATGCTAGGATAACGGATTTTGTCGTGCTCCAAGTTGCTGTGTAATACTGCGCAGCCTTAACAAAAGTAAAAGCACACTTTCGGGCGTGTCGCTTGATAAAGTTTTTGTTTATTACTTGTTATGTGATGTTAAACCTGCTCCTATACGGATAGGACGACAGTACCCTAACGTGGTAATAGTATGAAGATATTAATATAATCCACACCTAATAGAAAACTCACTACTGACGTCTTTATGTGTTGATGAACGAGTGAGCTGTGGTTAGTGTTTGTTTGTATAGAACTAATGCGTCTTTGTAAAAAAATTCTTTGGTGAATACTAAAATTACTAGTCATTGCAGCATTACTTGTTATGTGATGTTCCAGAAATATTTGACTTGGTACCATAAACGGGGTCATTACGTTTTTTCACATTGTTTCTGTTTATTGGTTACTGTGGTAGATTTACTACCACCGTCACTATTAACCACCTTTGCTGATACTAACCACCTGGGTTTTTGTCGATTCTTGGTAGTTCCAGGTAGAAGTACATTTGCTCAGTAACTATCACCTTATTGTTATAAATGCAGCAATTATTGCCAAGGCATGATATCATATGTAATATCAAGAGCGTATAAAGAAGGTCTTTTTAATACGATCTTGGTAATATGTGCCTTACATGTTAGTATGTCATCCGTCCTAAAAGCTCACAGTACCAATCTGTGTCTGCTACATAACACACTCGTCTATTTTTTGGGTTTTGGGTTTAGTTGAACACAGTTGCTCATTATCACGTTGATTGTATACGTCCATCCATCCCCTGTAATTATGGTGCGATATATAGCTTATAACTGCTGTCTATGTATACTTTTGTGAGGTGCATTTCGTGTTGTCTGCACTGTTTCACACATTCACGTGATATATTCTGTGTACATATTCGTGAGCGAGATGTCATTTGCATGTATTTTCCACTTATTTTCGTAATCGTTGTCTGTATTGTGTGATATAGCTCGGATGTTATAGCCCGTAAAAATACTTATTGCCAATTTTCTAACACTGCACATATCATTTGACGTGCGATATCATACTGCCTAGTTAAGTTATGCAGTGAAAAGCTGCTCGATTCATGCTGTTCATTACGGTGCATTTTAATTCGGTTATTTCAAAGTTATATCAGTTCTGATTGATTGACTGCTAAACGATTTGATGTTCTAAGGGTTTCCAGAACTAGACAAATTAGCTATGCATGCTATTTTGTGTCCGTCACTGCAAAGTTAAAAACATTCAAGACAGGTTACTGTAATTTTATGTAATCGAGCAGTGCATTACAAGTGAAATTTCCGTCCAATTTAAAAAATGCCTTAATTTTAGAGCAAAGGTGCTTGAAATATACAAGTACTGCATGTAATTATATACCAATGCGTTGTTTGCTTCTGAGCTATACACGGGTCCTGTGTCCATATGCACAGATGCTCTCAAATACCACATTTATCTGTCAATAGAGTTAGTAAAGAAGAATAGTAATGAGCTGGGGTCTTTTGCATAGCATTCACAGGATAAGATCGGGAGTAAATAATTATAATTTTGTTATTTACTCCTGATAAAGATGCGGGTGGATTGCAGGAAAGGTATTCAGAGAGCTCTGGTCATTGTGGCAGATGGACAAGATGTTGTCACAACTTGATGACACAGTGACACAGAATGTATTTTTATGTAACGTGTGTGGAGAAATATGGAAGGCTTCCTCCAATAATCTTTGCAATATCTTTAGTTGTTGGAGGCTTCATGTTTCATGATGAGGGAAAGGATGTTAACTTATTAATAGATATATAAACTAATCGAATTATTGACGATATAATGCTTGTGATACACAAATGCTGCAAGACAACCTGGCTTGGTGATAGGTTTAGCAAGTGTATTTTGAAGAAAATGCTTGTCATGCAGTGTCTATAGCATTAATAATAACGAATAAATTTTCACAACCACTTATGTTTCTGATACATTATAACTTTATCTAGTGGTAAAACACAACTACAATTTATTTACATTACTTAATAAACAATACATTCATCATACGTAGCTATATGGCTTTACACAGCCCTCTAACAGGAAATTGATCATGGTTCGCTGGTTAAAAACCAATTTTTTTTCATTTTTTAAATAATTTCAATTTATTTACATTCCGTAAGGCCACTGTTGGAAGGGGGGGGGGGGCAGAAAGGGATAAAATCCCCAAGTGAAGACACAGATCTGGACATTGATGACCGAGAAACGATCACATGCCTGGCATGATGTAAGCTATGTTGTCGAGTATATCCTGCTGAATGTCTTCGGTAATGGAATTGAGTTCAGGAACCTGATTCGTGAGACACATCAGTGGTCCCAGTGCACACACCATCGAATCTAGCAGCAGAGACAGGCTCCCCTGCACGACCAACCCCTGAAAACAGAACGCAATGTCACTTTAGTTGTTGAGCACGGGCACGAGAGCATGAAGAACGGCAGGTACATAAAACACTCCATGTGTATACTAGCATCACAGACGATCAGTACTCCTCAGAGGGTCACCACTATCACTGTTGTTCGTCGTACGTAACCTGTCCAAAAATATATATATATTTAACGAAAATATCTGCCCTGTACCATACAAATCACTACCTCTTTACCTTGCTTTTCCTATTAAGGATGTAACTTCTCACCGTGACCCTACGTTCCAAATTCGAATAGCATTGGCCAAGCCCTTAAATTGACTACGTCACGAATTTTCTATGGTAAAATTTGTAAAATTTTTGTTGCCATTTTTTTTACATTAAAAGTAAGAACTAACGGGACTAATGTATCGTCAAATTCTTACCTGATAAGATTGTTTCTCAACTAGTTAAAAATCCAAAAAACCTGGACGATTACCCGATGATATTAGTGTTCCTGACTATTGCTTGCTTGCTATGGTCTATGTATGCGTCACGAGTGTATGTTCACATCGAACAATATCGTAAAATAAGAAGTATAATGCAGCAATTTAACCATAAAAAGTGAACAGAATTACTTGTATTTTGTGAAAAAGTGGAAATATTTTTTTATTTTTTTTACCATTTACGGTGACGTAATCACTTTAAGATCAGTGCCACAACTTCGTTTCTTCACACTATACACCTGCTCTATACAGTTAAGAGAATCGCATGTTCCCCATACCCTTCTTTGATCCATGACCTGATGCCTTTCTGGATCACCCCCTTACATGCCAAATATGAATGCCTTCCATACAGATTTGTTCCATTATTGTTGACAGATTGCTGGATATTCATGCCATTCTACTAGCTAAATGTAACCAAATGAGATAACCTTAAATCTAGAAAAAAAATGTATTGAAACAAGTAAAATAGGAGCAAATAAAAGGACTCACCGAATGTTCTGTCAGACGATTTCCAACGATCTCCAGAGATTCTCCAAGTAGTCTGAGGTGAGCAGCGACATCCAGTGGGCCGGCACCCGTCACCTACGCATAATAAAATAGTTGGCACCAAGCCAAAAGTGAATATGGCCTACCTTTCTCTTAGGACAAGTGGTGCAAAACATACTGGCTATTGAATGTATTAAGCAGTATAGCACCTCTGTTCACCATTACTCTAAACAGACTTTAATATGTTATCAGTGTGGGATTAAATTGCCAATTTGTAGCTAACTGTAAGTGTAATATAGTGATCACCTAGCTGTAGAACCACAACGTTTCGACAACGCATATTTAATCCATATACGGTAGTATCCAGAACCGTATTCAACAAGAGACAATAGTACTAGCTATAGGTGACAGCTACTACTGCATACAGACTTCCGCACGCAGCCACAGACGTCTACGTGTGAGAACCATGTCGTGACGCTTACCCGGAAATTTGGTGGAATGTTCTGATTCTTAAGTAGCTCCTGATATTTGTCAGCTGTTTTCACTGCGGGCTTCGCACTGGAGCCAGACTTTGCGGCTTTGAAATGCGTTGACATGGGCGTCTGCAGGAGATGGGCTGGCATGCGTCCTGTGTTTATCAGCGTAGATCCCTTCTTGGCTAGCTTCTTCGATGCCCGTCTCCATTTCTGAAACAGAAAGCGACCGGACATTCAACATAGGCGCACCACTGCAATGTGCTTGAGGAGAGTGAAGCATTTTTGGCTTGGATGACCACAAAAAATGGCGGGTCTATTTGTAATCGGGGACGTAAAAGTGCTACTGAGGATGCAAAACGGCAATGACCACCTCAACGTCAGAGGCTCAGGGGTTCAGCTTGGCGTAATACTCGAGGGCTAACTAGTGACCGAGACGTCAATTTCCCAACTATGCAGCCGGTTATTTGATATATTGTGACCAAGTGCTAAGACATGCATATGTAGTTGGCACTGCAGATGTGCAATAGTTACCATTTTGTCCTTCTCCAGCAAGTTACCCCAGATTTCTCCAAGCCGCTTACTCACACTTGCAAAATCTGAAACACAATTAACAAATCGATAAGCGACCGCCTAATCAGTAAAACATAAACAACTACTAACTAATGACAAGATCGGTAATACAAAAAGTTATGTGCATGCTTCAGTGCCACAAGTAGCTTTCACACAAACAAGAACCTCCATCCTGTGTGGTTTTGATCGCTATAGATATTTAATACCATTTCCACGGTTACCACTTGCCAAAGTCAGGATGCTCCGCTTGGATCCGAGGTCTGACGCCACGAGCCCACAGCATGTATGCAGTTATCGGTCTCGGGCGCCTTTTCTTCTTCTTCTTTTTCTAAATGAATGCAAACCCTTTTACACGGATGTCCTCGGTTTTTTTCTTAAAGAACAAAAACTTGCCACATACCTTTCTGGGTTTTTTTCAGCATACATGCCCTTTTTTGCAGACTTCTAGTATATGAACAAACAACTTTGTATACGATAACGGCACAACAGAAACAAAGCGAATGCAATGCTTAGAAATGTTTACAGTATATTTCATTCACACCTACCCCAAATTCTTCTCTACCTTCCTTTCCTTCATTCATCTTCTTATAATTGTGTTTTTTGGATGCCGCCCTCTTCTCAGCAAAGAATTCGGACACTGTCTTACTTGGGGGAGGCATGACGTAGTGTGTGGACCCATCTACGTTCTCAGAGTCATCATCTTCATCAGGTGACACCTCGTAACGAGAGTAGTTCTCTGCAAATATGAATTTTGAAAGTGCCCTTTTAGATGGAGTGCTACCACGATCCATATGCGCTACTACATTTACTTACATCGCACTTTGAGTTAGGGAGCTGTTGCTTCGTCACTTATCTCATATGCATCTGCATATCACCACACTTTCCGCTATTTAATTTTTAATTTTGTAGTGGTGTTAAATGTCAGCTCATTGCACATATTCTACCTATCACTCTTCATTGCAACTCTTTCTTTACGTTCGTTACCACTGACATAGTGATCCGTGCCACCGATATTAAGGCCATTGATGCAACAATATTATTTCTCGCGTTCGTTACCTCCCAACACATCCTGAAATGAATCTTCATCGTCAGCTTTTATTTTTCCCTTCAATTTCTTCTGCTTCAGAGTTCCAGTCTTCTTGAGTTTTTTCTTCAATGGCTTTTTATGTAATTCCTCACTGATGACAAGCTGAGGTTCAGACAACTCAACTTCTGTGATGTTAACTTCTTCTGCAAATTCTGAAACCAGTACCTGAACTAAGCACTCGTAGTCATAGTAACAGCAACGTCAGACAAAGCACGGTTTTCAAGAAATACAGAAAGACCTATCATACTGAAGTATGCACACAATAATCTGCCTGAAGAAGTTCCACAAACATCGTGGCATGCACCTGAATAATACGTAATGACTCAAACACAGCCAACAGTGAATCTACATATTGACATGCTGTGAACGATACCTTGGCAGTTGGAAAAACGTTGGATACCTGCATCTCTGAACCTACCAGGTACTCCCAGCTTATTGTCGGCAATGAAATGGTCCTCGGTCGCGATCTCATCGTCAGCATCCTTGTTGCCGTCAATCTCCAGTTTTTTAGCTTTAAACTGCAGTTTTTTAGCTTTAAACTGCAGTTTTTTAGATTTAAACTGCAGTTTCGTCTTGCACCTTTTCTTTTTCGGTGCTCCTGGTTTACCCGTAGACTTCTTGGTCTCACCAGTGTCTCCTCCGATCTCGGGTAACATAGTTGAACCAGAATCCGCATCTTCGTCCTACGCACGTATAAGACACGATGGCATAATGTCAATGTACTAGCTCATGATAGCTTCATATCCGCATTCCTTGGAGATGATTTCTTGAGGCCTACTTTACATGCTATCACAAAAGTTTCTAATATCAGGTAAAAGTCCCATTTGAAACACGTAAATTTAAGGGGGTCTATTTTAATTAAGCATGAATTAACCGAGTCCTATATATTTACAGGCACATGATAACTGAGGTGAGAATAAGAATACGTGCGACACACCTTACTTTTGAGAGCCTTTCCATGAGTAGCTAACTTAACTGTAGATTTTTGTTCAAGGTTAATGTCTTTGCTTTGTTTCGGCTTTGGTGTCTTTTTTACATTTTTGGCAGGAGACTTCGCCTGCAAGTAGGTGTATAAAAATGTGGTCCAAATTAATTATAACACATAGATTTTTAAGTAATGCATTAAAGATTCACAGAGTTTTTACAAAACAAATAACACTTCTCTTCTTCTTCTCGGGTCACTACACTACACTCGGCCCAGCCACTGCAGCACACAGGACTTGGCACGGTGGTTGAAAGCCTCAAGGTCTCCAGGGCTACAGGGCTACATAACCATAACATACTACAATAACCATATGTATATATACATATGTGTGTGTTTGATATTACACTATCTCTACTTACTGAATCTATGAATACAACTCTAGCACTGCCCAGTGAAATATTCTTCACATTCTATTCTCAACACTATTACATCTACCAGATTTGTTCTCCATGAAAAAGACTATCGTCAGTACATGTATTTGTATTTGAATTACATGCAATAAAGATTCCAGCTAATTGATAGATTCCAGAATAATTCTTCCAGCTAATATTACAAAGAGAAAACATGACACACATTCAAGTTTGTCACGCAAAACCTACTTACCACCGACATAATAACGTCAGTAGCATGAGAAACATCAGCAGACACGCCCGCAGTATCCACTTGTGGTTCTTTATTCTTAGGCGACAAAATCAACTTCAGCTTGATGCCCGGACACTCTCTTCCGCCATCGGTCGTGTCGACAATGAGCTCGGTCTTCACCGTTTGTTTCGTCTTCCTCGGACTCTTGTTGAGCTTTGCCGGCTTTTGCTGGACCTTGGGAGTGGTCACCGGCACCGACAGCTGTGCAGGAGTTGTAACTGTTTCTGTAACGACAGCTGGAACTACAGCTGGAACGACAGGAGACTTCCGCTGACTTTTGCTGCTAGGAGACTTTTTCTGCCGCGTGGTCTGCGGTGTGTCGGACAGGCCAGAGTCGGATGCCGATGAACTCATACTGTCAGAGGCTATTCGCTTGACAATGCTGTAGTCTCCACTGTCACTGTCCCCTCCAGCGCTCTTGTTGGCTTTCAACGATATGGTAATCTTCTCTGCCTTGGCTAGGGAGAACGACAGAAATGTGACACGTGTTGGTGACATTTTTCGCATCTAGGTCACCTAGGAAAGGATGTACGGAACATAACTCACAACGACATAAGCTTCTAGACATCATGACATTCCGATTGTTATTGGTTATCATTACTATTGGTTTTTTATTCATTCCTACCTTTCTTGCTAGATCCCGGCTTAGTAGTTTCAAAATCGTCATCGTAATCTTCATATTTTGACGGCCGTTTTCTCACTCTTCCAGATCGAGATGGAGTAGCCATGATTCTAATCACTTCACTTTCACGACGATCTCAAAACCAATACTCGAATAGTTGGTCGACTGCATAAACAGAAACACAAGTAGTTTGAATTATTAGAAAGGATGTATTCACTAGTATTCATGCTCTTTGTAGTTCTGGAGTGTACACGCAGCACTATACAGTTTTAGTGGGCATAGTTGAATTATCCACATCACCAATCAAACTGTCATTCCATAGTTTCAAAACCGAGGGTGGGAAGCAGTGGAAAAATTCATTTACTTATACTGCAATTGAAGCTTGGAAATCTCTACCACAGCAAGTTAGGACAAATTCTGTTTATTCTAGTTTTAAGTATAGGGTTAAGAAATGTCTGATGGAAAAGGTAGAAACAGTAGAGGCAGAAGAGTATGATTTTCGCTAAAAGAATTCGGTTGAAATTAGGCATGAGAAAAGTTTGTATCGCCTTATGAGAATGTACCATTGTATGACCGGTTAAGGATACTCTCAAGGTTTTAGGAAAATTTTTACCGATTTTTCATTTTCAACTTTATTCGATGGCTAACACTATGTGCCACCTGTGTACATGGTCATTTCTCCATATAACAGTACATGTGAACTGTCAGAGCGTTTTGCTTGTCCGCGTACATGTGTAGTGAGCCGCGGCTGACGTCATGATTACGTCAGACACATGATACAACCAGCATTTTCACAATATTCACTGAGCCAGTATCCATCAACATCAACCCTGCTACAGCTGTACTACTACCCTGATCCAACAAGTATCACACATGAGCCTAAAATAGTTCTCAAACCTCGCAATAAACCTTACATAAGGTCCGAGTTTGTTGACAGGCAATGGGCGGGTTCGCACCATTTTCAATGTAAATTGCGTTGGTCACCTCGTAATTTCTCAGAATTTCTCAAGGTGCATAGAACATTTTACCAATTTAGTGGTGTCAGTTAGTCATGGATATGTCGCAGTAAGTACTAACAGTAGATATTTCACATACGTTCACCCATTTTTCACACAGGCGGTCGATCATTGTGAAAAATGAGGATTTCTCCGTTCCAATTTCTGACTTAGTAGTCGATGTATAAATGGATATTTCTCTGTGATTACAACTCGGAATAATTTAACTTTACACTCGTTTTAATGGTAACATATTGCTGTAAAAAAGTGCGTCAGGGATTGTTATTAAGTGCCGTATTTTATGAGTTATGTCTATTTATTCGCTAAAATTTTAAATTCAAACGTGCGACTTAAATTTTAGGCAGTTTTTTTAATTTTTCTCGGTAAATATAAAACTTAAAGAAAAATCCTGATGCGCTATTTTGGTACATATTGTGCTTAACATGTGGCGAAACTTTTGTATCCTCACTCTTTCTGGTAATTGAGAAATATCCAAAATACCATTTTTACATAAAAATTCAAAATTTGTGTGGTAACATAATTAAGTGCTAGAAATTTCATGCAATTTTTTGGCTTGAACATAGAGATATATCTCCTCTATAAATAAAACAAGTGATTGATTAGATTCATTCGCCAATAAACGTTTAATATTCATTAGAGCAATACCCGTGCAAAAGGTGGAGAGTATCCTTAAAACTACAAATTTGTATATTTCAATAGTTAGTGCTGATAGTATTAGTAGTGTAATGGTTAGATTCAAGGCATAGCAAAACAAGGACCACAATGTAAATAAGTGTGCTAGTCATGCTTTTTGTGTATATATCCTTGGTAGTTATCCAATTTTATGAATTCAGAATTTTATTGTAAAAGTATGCTATGTATTGTATATTATGATGGATAATTGCCTAAATAAAAAATAAAATAAAAAGAACCTCTTTACTAGTAATAATATACTATATGCATTAAACGTCCTTTCCCCATAAATCCACAATGTATCTAATCAAAGTACCGGTACTACTACTAGCAGGAGTAAGATAATATAGGATCTTATATTATCTTACTCCTGCTACTAGTAGTCTAATGCTGGTGTTCTGTGCAAGTATTTTGTGAATAAAAATATTTAGATCAAATAGAGCCAACACAAAAGCCTTATATTCTGACCGAATGACCGTGTTCAACCACTACAAGTCTAGGTTAAAGAATAGAGAGCATGGCCAGATTCATCAGCAGTGATGTGCATTTTTGTCAGTAGGCCTACACAGTGCAGATTTTCATTACTTAAATTATCAGAGTGGCTATATGCCCAGGCCGGGCACGGTCTTCGATTTCCTAAATGCCCGGCAGTTTTTAATTTTCAGCGTTATCTCAAGTAAACAAGGGTTAGGGTTAGGGTTAGTGTTAGTGTTAGGGTTAGAGTTAGGAACTGCCGGGCATTTAAGAAATCGAAGACCGTGCCCGGCTGCCGGGCATATACTAGTCTATAGCCACAGCATTAAAGGGAGAGTTTACTCTAAGTTTCGCAGTTTATGTAAATGGCTGTCGGAATCAGGAAACACCCACCGGCGCTCTTCGTGACCTCATTTTTGCGCCGCAACGCTCCACTGGCTCGTACGGGAGTTGGAAAGCAGTGTGGTAGTTTCCCAAAATTCAGTGCGCTGCCTATAGCCCTGTACTTGCAGCCATTTACATAAACTGCGCAACGGGAGCGAACGCGAGAATTTCGTCAGGCTTTGTGTGATTTCGCGTGACACGGCTCGGTTACGAACACAGACAGTATGTTTTTATAACAAGTGAACACTGACCTTCAAATAGAAACAGATGGAGTGGAATGGTTGAATGTTTGTGTTGTATTCGCGTGAAATCAAGCGAGCGTCGAGCGAATTTTGGCAGCACGCTTTCCTACCTGCTATATAGTTATGTGTCAGTGTGCAGCAGCTAGCGTGCGGTGGCCAGCGTGTGACAGTGTATTGCAGATGAGCATTTGGATGGCATTTACAGCAAATTGTCAGCAATAATAGGTGAAAGAGAGTAGAGAAACTTTGGTAGTAAATTGATTTCGTATTTTTATTTAGCATTTATTTAGCATTTATTTAGCATTATATTTTATTGAAACGCTCCAAGTGCCTGTGGTTACACTAGCCAGCCGCAACTGCAAGCTGCTGCAAACCCGCAATGCCTGAGCTAGTGTCTCGGCTCCAGCGCATTTCCAATTCCAGGAGATATTTTTGCTGTCGCTTTCTCAAACCAGCGGTGCCATGAACATGCCCCACGCAACTGAAACAATATCTTCATCCATATAATTTAATCTCCCTAAATATTTAAGTTTGCTCTTCGCTTCTCTATCCTCAAACGTGGACCATCCAAGCTCTCCCCTTATTGTTTCAATACCCGCGTAAGGTGGGGCACCTAACAGTTCCCTGCCAAGCTGGTTTTGGGTATTTTCAAGGGCTTGGAGAGTGCATGTTCCCTTTTTCTTATCCTTATATATGATTATTTTATCAATTTTCATAGGTTAGGGCAAATATAATTAGGTTGTATACTCTTGATTTTTGTAGGTATCGTACGTGGTGCTGTATGTGAGACATATCGTGTGTTTAGCTCCTTGGTATCAGGGCCGTATAGCTACCATTAGGCAAATGGCCGTATAGGGCCGTATAGGGCCGTATAGCTACCATGAGGCAAATGCCTCCCAAAAAATTTCTCCAAATAAAAATTAAGCGGGCTCCATACACTACGCCCTATTAGCTCGCTTCGCTCCTTGTTCTTTAACTCACAACATTTGCCTCCTACAAAATTTACCTCTGGCTTAGATACAATAATGTAACCCAAACCCTATCCTCTTGGGTTTGGGTTACATTATTGTATCTACCTCTGGCTGTACGGCCCTGCTGCCAGCTGGTATGTACAGTTAGGCCCACAATTTTTGTTTATCCGCAATTCCGAAATCGAAAACCTGTATTTTATAAGTATATATACGGCAAAGGTTGGCGATGCACGCCACTCGCTACGGTCAACCTGCTGCGAAACAGAAAACATTCCTACATCATGCATAATATCAAGATGCGTATAAAAAAGGTATTTATACGGTACGCTCTTGATAATATGTGCTTGTAGCATGTGAATCCAGCGAAATGTAGCTTTAATGGGATCGATCGAAAATCTTTGCACTATGTAAAGAAGAGAGGGCAGGTTCATCCGTTTTTATACACCATGCATAATAACTAATAATTAAGGCTTATATATTCATTCTGATCATTCAAATGACATTCGTATGGATGAATTTATATTTTGAACATTAGTCCTGGACACTCGTATTATAAATGCACTTCGGTGTGAGCATGATTTCACTTTTTCTTGAAGGCATAACGTTACCACTGAGCTCTCTATAATAAAAGTTTATTATATACAGCTTAGTTATCTTTACTTGTTAGGATTGGGATATACACGTAGTATATATATGTTGTACGTGCAAACGCGATTAAATTTCGCGCTCATCGTGATCGAACTTTGGGGATCCCCGCAATACCTGTTCTTGTGTTTCCAATATGGTGTCTCTACGAAATCTTGGTTAGCTAAGTTAGTTTTGTTTTGTTTGAAATTGTTAGATCATATCAACGTAGGGCTAATGTCATTATGTTTGTAGATAGCACTTTGTTTATTTGTAATTTATTCGTGCCGCTGCTGCCAGTGTGGATTTCTTCATCGATTTGTTGAATGTTATAGAACGGTTTAGACGTTTGTGTTTAGGTTGCAGAATTTATGGCTGCGACTTTGTATGCATCCCTAGATTAATTTTAAATAATACTAGTTAATCTTACACTGTTATTTAAAGGTGGTTCACCAGCTGCGGTCATAGGGTGTCATCTAAGTTTCTAAACATTGTGTGGTCGTCCACATCACCGAGCTGCAAGCATAGCACTGCAAGTGGAATTTTAAATCTATACTATAGTATAGTGTTGTTTTTCGTTTTTCTGATTTATCTTTTTAAATAGGCTGTGGCTACGGGTACGGCAGCCGTATCTTAATGTCTCGAGGCTGGAGGTACGGCAGTCCATTCGCTTTCATACTTAACGAGACAAAAATGGCGGCAGGTGGCGCCAGATTTCGAAATAACGCCTTGGGGAATAAATTCACGATTTGAGAGTTTAGATGAGTTAGGCTAGAACCCTAACCCTAACCCTAACGCCAAAAAGGGGCTTCAACGAACGACGGCTGCCGTACCTCCAGCCACTGCGCTTTAAATAATGAGTCACATTATTCATGTTTCCAGTGAGTGTTGATTGCCTGGCAGAACTTGTATTTCTAAAATAGCTACAAGCTCTTCTGGTATAATTTTTCATCTGTGTGCTGCGAGTCAAAAAAAGCTTTTGGTGATTCACTGATTGTGTGTCACTGTGCGTTACAATCAAGACTAACTGCTAGCGTCCAGGCATCTTTCACGCGAAATTGCTGTACAACTGTATGTAAATTAGTAAACCAGAGTACAACATTTGCATCTTGATTGCAGTTATAACAAACTTTTCAACTCAACCTAGTAATGATGCCAGTGACTGACGAATAGAAAATGCGACACGATCGTTAGAAAAATTTCTGTTGGGAAAAATGTACCCCACTCCTACTGCAAACTGGCATATAATAATGACCAACTTGCATATCATATCGAGAAGTGACTTACAGTTTTTTTTAGTATATGTTTAAGGTAGTCAATAATGAGTTACTAAAAGTGACGGACGGCCCAAAAATGAAGCACGTGGTTGGTAATTACACTTTCAGAGGTGTCACATCAACATAGAGATATATCTCCTCTATAAATAAAACAAGTGATTGATTAGATTCATTCGCCAATAAACGTTTAATATTCATTAGAGCAATACCCGTGCAAAAGGTGGAGAATATCCTTAAAACTACAAATTTGTATATTTCAATAGTTATAGTGCTGATAGTATTAGTAGTGTAATGGTTAGATTCAAGGCATAGCAAAACAAGGACCACAATGTAAATAAGTGTGCTAGTCATGCTTTTTGTGTATATATCCTTGGTAGTTATCCAATTTTATGAATTCAGAATTTTATTGTAGAAGTATGCTATGTATTGTATATTATGATGGATAATTGCCTAAATAAAAAATAAAATAAAAAGAACCTCTTTACTAGTAATAATATACTATATGCATTAAACGTCCTTTCCCCATAAATCCACAATGTATCTAATCAAAGTACCGGTACTACTACTAGCAGGAGTAAGATAATATAGGATCTTACATTATCTTACTCCTGCTACTAGTAGTCTAATGCTGGTGTTCTGTGCAAGTATTTTGTGAATAAAAATATTTAGATCAAATAGAGCCAACACAAAAGCCTTATATTCTGACCGAATGACCGTGTTCAACCACTACAAGTCTAGGTTAAAGGATAGAGAGCATGGCCAGATTCATCAGCAGTGACGTGCATTTTTGTCAGTAGGCCTACACAGCGCAGATTTTCATTACTTAAATTATCAGAGTGGCTATATGCCCAGGCCGGGCACGGTCTTCGATTTCCTAAATGCCCGGCAGTTTTTAATTTTCAGCGTTATCTCAAGTAAACAAGGGTTAGGGTTAGGGTTAGTGTTAGTGTTAGGGTTAGGGTTAGGAACTGCCGGGCATTTAAGAAATCGAAGACCGTGCCCGGCTGCCGGGCATATACTAGTCTATAGCCACAGCATTAAAGGGAGAGTTTACTCTAGGTTCTAGGGTTATTTTCAGCTAATTTAGGTTAAAATTACGCTACATAAAAAGTTTCATGGTTCAATCACCATTAGAAATATTATTAAAAAATGTTTCAAAACTAACGACTACAGTTTGATTACAACGACGGTGGCGCCACTCAAAGCGCACGATCTGATAAGATGCGCAAAACCACTTTCCAGCCAAGGGCTACAGACCGAGGGTGTTTCTTATTTATTCATTTAAAAGCAAAAGGATTGTAATATCTTATAAACGACATATAGTTTCAGTTATAATATGGATAAATTTGCCCTAAAATGAATATCGTTCGGTTAAATAGCATTTAGGTATAAATATAATTGCACTTTTCTGATTAGCCCTCGGTCTGTAACCTGCAAAATAAATTGTCAAATACGCAACTTTTTCGGGGTGGCAGCACGGTCGCGGGTGTTATGCCGGCGCCGTTCAAATTTCGTAGCGTTGATGTATAATTAATTATAACAATTAAATTAGGTATCTGGTAACAAGTACGTGTGGGTATAGACGATTTGTTATACAGTAAGTACAGTTGTATGCAGTAAAATCCTAGAGGCTACTGTCCCTTTAAATTATGTGATGCTGACAAAAACGTGATTAATATAATAATAATTTCGTGATATACCTACCGTACCGGTCCCTATTGTTTCATGACACATGACTACCTCTGAATAATTATGTGATGCATGGTATGTATGGAGAATTTTCCATATAATAGGCCTACTAACAACAACAAAAGAAATACTTACACAGCAACAAAAAATCTGACACTGTACTCTGTAGACGTGTAGTCTGTACTCAGTAGGCGAACAATAATTAGCCAAATACACATTTTGCCACGGACATGGTTTAGCTAAATGGAGAGAATATTTACCCAACATGCATTGTCTCATAACTTTCCCGTGTTTTATATTAATGTTTTTCATCCTAACTATATTCTGCCAAAGACGATATTTCCTATTTCCTACTATTTCATCTAAATAAACATAACTTACCAGTGTTAATTGAATGGAATTACCTCCATTTGCTGCGAGCTAAACTGCTGCCACCTGTTAGAAATATAATGTACTTTTGTGTGAATGTATGTATGTATGTACATCATGTATGTATGAACGGGAACCTTTAGATCGGTGTTTCCCTTTTTATTTTTGATAGTTTCCCACCGGTAATTTCACTTTACCGGGAGATTTTTTTCGTAGCTTCCAGGCTGATTCTAAGTAATATTTAACCTGCTCTACCCAATCCCCATAACATCTATGTTCATTTAGCCCCAAGATGGTGAGCATCACCTGCATGTATGATGAGGCCACAGCTAGGTGTGACCTCACCTGTGAGCATAACATATCCTCCAGCTGTGCAGGGGTGACCGCAGGCCCTTGGGCCGTTTTAATAATAAAATGATAGTTAATAAATTTATACAACGTGTCAGTACTAGACCTACCAGTACCAGTAATAGTCAAATGTTTGATTTGACCTAATAACTTCACTTCAATACCGTCCAATACACCGCTGCAACACATATAGCGCGCACGCCATTGTTCACAAATACACAGTAATATAGAGTGATATATCACTGTGTATTTGTGCACAGTAGGCTATATTGAGCAATTGCCGAGGCTCGTCAATCAATAACGCAGGTACACGCATGTACACGCAGATACACGCACGTACACGCGGGTACACGGAGATACACGCACGTACACGCAAATACACGCACGTACACGCGGGTACACGCAGGTACACGCACGTACACGCAGATACACGCACGTACACGCGGGTACACGCACGTACACGCAGATACACGCACGTAAACGCACGTACACGCACGTACACGCGGGTACACGCACGTGCACGCGAGTACACGCACGTATACGCAGGTACACGCACGTACACGCACGTACACGCACGTACACGCGGGTACACGCACGTACACGCAGATACACACACGTACACGCGGGTACACGCAGCTTAGTGCCGATTTTATTATTATTGTAAAAGGTTTCTTGTTTAGGAAATGTTTTCCCTTTATATATAGCTCTAGTGTGCTTTTATTTACCATTCCCTTTCTCCATCTGATTGTGCTGCCCTTTATAATGATTTTCTTCACCGTATTGTTCCATGATTCGCTGTTTTCCCAGTCTCTATTTATCAATAAAGGCCGTGGCTACGCGACCGGTTCCGGACGAGGAGCCGCTAGCTAGGCTACGCGTCCGGACATCCATCTCACACACTGATCTTGCGACACGTAGCTACACGCATGATATTGCGCAACGGGACGCTCTGCTGATTGCCGAGTGTGTGTGTTTGCTTGAGGGAGAGAGAGAGAGAGAGAGAGAGAGAGAGAGAGAGAGAGAGAGAGAGAGAGAGAGAGAGAGAGAGAGAGAGAGAGAGAGAGAGAGAGAGAGAGAGAGAGAGAGAGAGAGAGAGAGAGAGAGAGAGAGAGAGAGAGA